GTGTTTGTGCCTTGGCTTCTGGGCTCAAGTGAAAAAGAAGACAGAAGGGAAGTATCCGATCGACAGGTAAGCCCGCGTCAGGTTGTGCCGCGCCATGTTGAGACAACGACCAACAAGATCGGCAGTGCAGGGAGAGAAGGGATAGCCTACTGAAGCTTAGTATGTAGCTAAGCCTCGACATCTAGAGTTGAGCCTTGTGCGGGTATCGTCAACGGTGTGAGTTGTGATATGATCAGTCCCGATTGAAGGGAGGATTTGCGTTGAAACGGCTTGTCTCAGGAGCATATCTTCCTCAGAGCCTATTTTCTAAGACACAGGCCTCTTGGCTGGGAGATGGGGAAAATGGTCTGATGTCTCAAAGTCAATATTATTGGAATGCCCTGCGGGAATGGTCTGGAGGCTTGCGTCCCCTAGGCGGGTAAACGCGTGGAAATTCAGTAGAAATTTGTCACTTAAAAGCAAAGACAACAACGTCCCACGGCTTCCAGCCTGATGCGGTGTTCCCTTCATTCTGTGATCAAGATATTTGACTAGGCTTGGGGTAGATGACTGTGTTGGTGGCGTACGGCAAATCAAGACAAACAATTTCAGTGGATGAGACTTGGTGGACCTCCTGCGAGGAGCTGAGCACTGCGGGCGTTGCAGACATGGTGGTAAGTGCAAGTACACAGTAAGAACGGCTGTGATTCATCGTTATTTGCTGAGAATAAACACTTTCATATGAAAGTGTAAGTGATGTGCGGTGTTGTTGGTGATGATGAACAATGAATCACAATCAACCTTGCAAGGCTGTATTCGTCCCGTCCGGCCCGTTCCCCGCTGACAAGGTAAATCGAGAGGAGATCCCCCTTCTGCAAGACGTTAGCTGTTACCTATTTCTGGTTAATGCAGGGAGGGAATCGAGAGCGTGGCAATTTAACGGCACAGAGAGACATGATCTGATCTGGCTTGTCTGGACCTGGCATGTCCAATACCGGATGAAACCTCTCCCGAGAGATAATCCTAGAAACGAAACCAACGCTGAATATGAAAAATCCAGGAACCAACAGAACCTTTTTACGCACGGTGAATTTCTGGAGGAGACCGGAATGCAGCAAAATGGTACCCGCAGCGCCGTGGCCAGGGAGTTGGGTTTCTTTGTTCTGATAGACTTCGTGATGGAGCGAATGCCGTGATGCAGTTGGTCAGCGCATTGTGGCTACCTGCGAATGTCAGATGTTTTTGACAGCTAGGCAGTTTCGAATAAAGTACCGAGATGAGTTGACATGACTTGTGAAATGTCAAGGATGGTAGGCAACATGACTCTGCCGGAGCCCATGTCCGGGCAATGCGACCCTCAAGGTTGTATTAAACGATCAAGTATCCATAACTGAACATGGATGGGTTGTGTGAGCCGAGGAATAATCGACTGAAACAACCAGTCCTAGCTGGCGGTTAACAACGTGGATTTGGAGTACGTACGTATGCATTCCATTGCCGCTGACAGTTGATGCTCGGCACAAGAGAAAGTGGTGTGGTGCACAGCATTTGAAGGGCTGCCCTCCGGGGGCAAGAAAACAGCGAACCTTACTGTAGGGTGTCAAAATAAACTTAGCAAAAGTCATCCTAAACTTAGGCTATATTACCCCAAGTCTTTTTGTCATTTAGGACCGAGGTCCTATGTTTTCTTTCCTCCCCTAGGCTGCCTACAACTGGCAGCCAATCTTGAAACATGGATGCATCAGGTCGTATTCCAGAGATGCTGGATCAAGCATTTGGATTGTCGAGTTGGGCATACACATCGTACAGTTGGCCACTGACAGTCAAGGACAGAGAATGCGTGGCTGGAGATTAGTCGTGGGTATCCCTGGCATAACCCACGTTAGTGTGTTGCTGTTGCATCAGTTGCATCAGCCTATGTGCATATATGTGCATATGCATTGCACAAACAAACATTTTCAACGCAAGTCGCCTGCCTTTGCGGAAGAGTTACACTTGAAACCAGCCAGAGATATAGAGTTAGTTGATGGTTGGCGGCCTTTTAGGTCCTCCTCTGGGCCAGTGTTTAATGGATATTGTTCTGGCGGTGTCAGTGCTCGTCACAGTATGAGAGGGAGATGAGCAGCACGGTACGGGACGGCAAGATTCAAGTGAGGAAAGAGGAGACAAGCCGTGACCCTTGAGACGCAAATGGCCTAGCGCCGAGAGATCCATGAGGGTTCCCGCGCACCGGGTCCTGCATCCCGCATGTATAGTCTGGCGCTAAAGCAAGAGAGCGGAGAAGATTGAGGCGCTATGCCGAGAAGGGCCAAGGTTGATCAAGGTTGGTGGATGTGTTTTTCCTTGAGATGACGTGAGGAGATGGAGAATAACGATGAACAACCCGAATTTAGAGGTTGACAACAACGGCAGTGACATGTCAAATAAGCGAGATGATATTTCAAGGGCAATGATAGGAATCGGAGTCACCAGAGGATAGGTACTCGGCTGGGAAAGTGTAAAAAGGTCTCGAAGACGAAGAGCAAATGTTGAACTATTGCGCCCGCCGCATCGTATAATGAGACATGGCGCACCTTGAAATTGATCTGTATGTACATACTTTTCACATCTCGGTTCTCGTCTGTCCGAAGCAAGCTTCCTTTGCATAAAGGAAAGGGTAGCACGGCAACATACAGCATCGGAATCCAAGATATGCATGCACTCTTAACAATGATTTGCAACATGGTTTTATGCCGTGGTTTTTCTTTTTTCTTTTCTTGTCATTCATCTTCCTCCTCGTCAAGTATCGTATCCCTTCAGAAATCGTCTGGTTGTTGGGCTGGGATCTGGCTCCTTTAGTGTGGGATGGTGGGCGCGGGATAACCAGTCACATCTATCCTTGGCGATGCCACTGCGTGCTTCTGCTTCGCTTGCACCGTCGAATGCAAATGCAACTGCAGCTGCAACTGTGATAGGTCGAGGCTGCAAAACCAATCCCAGACGAATGTGCTGTTGTCGCCCGGAGCACTTCACCTTTACGGGTACGTATTCCCGTTGCCGAACCCGGGCTGCAACGCTACAGTTGCACTTTTGCTCTGCCAAATCTGAAAGTACCAGCAGGCAAAGCAGGTGAAGGAGAGATTTGCAGTATCCGTAGAACAGAAATGCTCCGACCCGAAATCTCACATCACATCACATCATGCCCCTTTCCAAGCCGCAAGTAAATTGTAACTGTAACCGTCCCTGTCGTATTCTGTGCCTGCCAGGATATTCAAGGCTACCTAGCACTGTACAGGCGCACGCCACTGATGAGATTGATCGTCTCAGCTGAATCTACCCAGAATAAGGTCCCCGGGAGCCCGTACTAAAGTCTACAAAGCCACGAGCCTTGGCGCCCTTGAACTCTAACGAATCCGTCAACACACGAGATCACCAGTGACAGGTTGAGAATTCCAGAAGAAAGAAAAAAAAAAAAACAACTAAATCGTGAAGGTTGAAGTTAATTTTTGACTGGATCTCGGAACCTGGGTCTTCCACCCAAGCCTCCCGTCTTGTCTTTTCCCCTCCAAGGTTGCATTCGACCAACAACAGCTTCTTATTGGGCCGATCCCAAGTCCCGTCTCCTTGGCCATGGACGAACACCCTCCCAACAATGGGACCCCGAGACCAAAGATCCCAGGCGATCAGCCTGTTCCTCTTGGCCAGTCTCAGTGGCCTACAGGGCGTTTTGAGGGCGTCCGTGGGCGGTTCGAGTCAGCCGTAGCCACCTGAGCCAGGCTCCTGGGCCTAGGGAATTAAGCCACCGTCCTCGTTATTCACTTCATTCATTATTATCCCTGTTCTTGTCTGCGCCCACGGAGGTTCAAGGGACCCTTCCCTAAGACATCACACACACACACCTCGAATGGATCTCCTATCATCATCATCTTTTCGCTCTCTCGCGTTCTGTCAAGTGCCCGAATGCTTAGTCTAACCTTAACTATCACCCTGCCCTATTTAGAAACAACTCCGCCATTTCCTGGTTCTGCCTGCCTCTAGTGATTGATCTAGTTTTACTTCAATCAGCGAGCGACGTATTTACCCGCGGAGCCGCGGGCTTTTAGCATAACAAGATCACGCACTGTACTCGCTTGCATCCAATCTACCAACCCATCCATTCTCTCGTCCAAATCTGCATGCACTGACTGCACTGGACCGACGGGAATAGTGCTTGTACGGTATCTACGTACCTACCTAGGTACCTTACCTCGCCTGCTTGCTGTTGTTCTGGCCTGTTCAGCTTGTATCTTTAGCTCCACTCAGCCAACTTTGGACGTTCTTTGCTGGCTGGGAATGGGCCTTGCTTCCATTGCATCTTTCCAGTTTAAAGTCCCCTGCACAGGCTTGTTCGCTAGTGTCTCTTAGCGACCTGCGCTATCCATACGCTAAGGTTTGTCTACGGTCCTGGGTCTGCCTCTTCAACGGCCTCTGCCCCCGGCCTCTCGCTTCCCCTTCTTCTTCTTGTTCACTCCCCCCTACTTGTTCATACACTTGTCCGGAGTACCTACCTACCTCACTCCTCCTCCTCTTCCTCCCTCTGGTCTAATTCTCGTATGTCGCGTTGAGGTCTCGCTCTCTTTCTCTTCACCTCGACAAGGTCTACCGTCTTCAATCACGGTCGTCGCCCTCCGTCCGTGAATGAATTGACAAACTAGAATACACTCGCACGCAATTTCCATATTGAACTCTACGCTGTCGGACCCGATATTTTTAATTAACGGGCGTCTCACATTGAGGGTGAGTTCCCTGCCAGAAGCCAACCAACCATTCATTACCTCCCAACGTCCAAAACCCTTCTTTCAACCGTTTGAACAATTAACTTGTTTAATACCAATCGAGTGGTTCTGTTCGCTTGCATGACCGCTCGGCCCGTGTGATTCAACTGTCAACCGTCGATTTGGGTCTCAAACTGACAACATCTGATTGATAGGCTTGGCTTGACTTTACTTCAATTCTCAATCGTTCTCTTCATCAGCGCGTTACACGCGTGATTAATATTCAATATGGCTACACCATCCTCGATTCCTGCCGAGCCAAAGCGCGATGTCGTCAACAGGATTCACAGAGTTACAAGAGGGAATCGCAGCCTTTGGTATCAGATGACTGTTCTGCAGCAACCTGAGCGTGCCCGAGCCTGCGGTTCTGGTTCAAAAGGTAAGCTGACTGACATAGGAATGGGGGCCTTGATTGCACGCTGGCGTCTTGTCTCTCATTCTTGTTACGTACTTTCCGTGCTGACCATTTATAGCCAACAGTGATCGCCGACCTGTTGATCCTCCCCCCGTTGTCGAGCTTCGGATTATCGAGGGACCTAGTGTGGAAGAGGGCAAGGACATCACTTTTGACTACAACGCCAATTTCTTTCTATATGCCAGTCTGGAGCATGCCCGTCCACTTGCGCGCGGTCGGGTCAATACTCCAGCTGCTGGTAACCCACCCATTCTGACTGGTGTCCCTGCTTCTGGCATGGCCTATCTCGACCGTCCCACTGAAGCTGGTTATTTCATCTTTCCCGATCTTTCTGTCCGCCACGAGGGCCTTTACATACTGACCTTCAGTTTGTTCGAGACTACCAAGGAGGAAAGGGACTTTGATCTGGAACCTGCCGATGGCGATCTTCCACCCGGAGTCGACTACAGAATGGAAATCAAGACCGACCCTTTCAGCGTCTATAGCGCTAAGAAGTTTCCTGGTTTGATGGAGAGTACTCAACTCAGCAAGACTGTTGCCGACCAGGGCTGCCGAGTTCGAATTCGACGAGATGTTCGTATGAGGAAGCGGGAAAGCAAGCCTGGTGCCGGCAACAGCAACAGTGGTGGAAACGGTTTCGAACGTCGGGAAGAGGACTTTGGTCGCAGAAGGACTATCACTCCAGCATCAGAAGACCCCCACAGTATCCGAAACCGATCTCACAGTAACTCGAGCGAACAACGAACTCCTTATACCGACGCTTCTCGCCGACCTTCGATGGTGGATTCTTATCCGCCCCCACCACCACCTCCCTCCTATGAGCCTGCTCCTTCTGCATCACGTCATCTCGACTTTGGAGATTCTTCTGCTGCTCAATACCCAACACCACGACAATATGCTCACCAACCTGGCCTGCAAATAACGCCCGGTCCTCCTAGTGGTTCTTATGCCCCTACAGCTCAGTCTCCGTACTCCAAGACGGATGCGCCTTACGGTTACGTCAACCGTAATATTCCTCCCTCGTGCCCTTCACCAGCTCCCTCTGTCAAGCACGACTTGTATGACCGCAGACAATCTACCAGCTCCTACGTTCCCCCTTCCCCTTCAGTCTACTCTACCGAAGGCCACCATCGCCGAGACTCGCGGCCGTCATACCCGCCCACGCCAGTTGCTGCACCTCGTCCTCGACCTATGCACAGCCAGACTTCCCTCCCGGCTCTCAAGATAGACCAGCTCGTCTCTCCTGTTTCCCCGCTACCTCCTATTGAGCCACAGACTGGCCCTGCTCCTGAACTACCTCCTATCAATGTTGGTGGCAAGCGCAAGCACGAGAGCGTCTTCGCCCAGAGCACCCGTCCACTCCACAATGGTCAGCGACAAGTGGATCCTCACTACGGTCGATCTCACCGTGGTTATAGCCCCGATCATGACCAAGGCTGGTACTCTCGAGCCGATGGTCAAATCAGCTCCGTCCAGTTCAACCGGTATTATGACGAATAGATACCTACAACTTCAACCTCACTGGAAAAGTATCGATTCTGGCGTTCTAGTGTTGTGTATTTCTATCTATTGGGCGATTTTGGAATGACGGAAGACGCATGAAACCGCAATGTTGAGGAGTTCGGGCGCAATTATGTGGATTTTGAAGTCTGGGGATTGGCAGACTTGGACCCGGATTATTTCATCCCGCAAAGATTTCCTTATGCACAATCATCCTTGGGTACGAAGGATTTTGTTAACAATGATCACAAACGATCACCCACTACGACGCTATTTTTCATTATCATTACTTACGTTGATCTACTTTGAATATTGGTCCTACTGAGGCCTTTACTTGCGTTCATCTCTTTTACTTTCTGGCTATTCTATCTCGCTTCACAATCTGCGACGGTTGTCTAGGACAGTGTGACTTGACTTGGAGTGACAATGCTGGGATACCGGGGTAAACTCGAAACAGACTTCATGGATGGGGTTGGTAGCACACGACGATAGATTTTATCCATGCAGGTCCTTAGTAGGGAAGCGGGATGTTGTCTGGGTTTTGGGAAAGGGTTTGGTATTCAACAGGCGTTATCACCAACAACCATATCGTTCATTGATTCATGCCGTATTTGGTCCAGTGTCATGTGAAGCATAGTTACCAATCTGTCGGTGCGGAAGATGAGAAAGATATTCTCGACCAGTTATCCATGTCTAGCTTGTATAGTCGGATCGACATAACTTGTGCTTGCTCCACAGACTTATGCTTCTGGAATTTAAATTCGCTTTGGACAATCGAGGCCAGCACTGATGGAATGGACAAGCAGCTTGGCAGGAATAAGATGTGAATATAGTTGTTCTAGCTCAACGGTGGAAATATGCCAATCACAAGTTAATTTATGCTCCAAGATCACGTTTCCAAAGCTGAAATCGACGATTCGAGTTACTCGACCCCTTGTTCGTCTCAAACAAAGGAAATTAAATCTCCGTTTCGGTAATTCCTCTGGAGCTGTATTTCCACTTTTGGCTTCCCGACGATTAAAGTACCCTTGTACCTCCTTCCATTCCAGGTCAGTGCTCTCGCTACTGCTGCAGGTACGTTGCATCCCCGCTCCTTCTTGCTCGTTGCTGTGGTGAAATCACGTGTACTCCAATGTCAACAAATCCTCCGCTTTCTAATGTATCCAAGCTACCTTACTTACCAGACCAGACCGACTCTGCGCCTTTACAGATGCGTCTTGTTTGTTCAGCCACCTTTTTACTCATCTTGTAAACTCGTCATGCTGTGTTGAGTTTAAACCTTCAACGTTTTTCCTACCCGTACCCATCGTTGAGGGGAAAAAACGACGTAATCGTGCTTAAGACTGTATCACAACTTATACGCCATACGCATACAAAACCTCCCCAATGGGTCGGCCAAAAAGTCGACGCGCACTCAGTGCGAGTCGATTTCAGGAAGGCTCTATGAATGATAGGACTTCTGCTGCGCCCCCAGTGCACTTTCTGGGCCCTGAAGAGCGCGCTGCTCTGGAGCGACCTGCTCTGACGAACATCAAATCCAATAATTCGCGACCGATGAGCGATGACTTCTCCGATAAGCAGGTCAAGCGAGGAAGGCTTCTGGGTCAAGTCTGGGATGAGGTGAGAGGCAGACTGGGATTTAAGAGGGATAATGAAGAAGAGAGAGGGACAAGGAAGAGGTCGAGGAGCCGTAAGCGAGATCAGTCTGAACAACGAGGCAGACAAAGGGAGAGGGAGAATGGTTCTAGAGATGGACCTGCGGAGCTGAAGACTGCTGAAGACACTCCCAGGGAGGATATGCCCAGCCGAGAAGAGATATTGGCCAACTATCACAATTTGATGGCTTCGGGTTTCTTCTCGTCTCATGCTATTCAGTCTACTCGACAGCCACCTCCCGGTTCTATTCAGGCCTCACACCACCTATCTGCCCCTCCTCATCCGACATCTCTTAGAGACGCTTTATCTCGAGCCACCACACCTCAAGATGGTATTCCTCGGGCCCCAAACTATGATGCACCTTCCCCACCCAAGTCACCTACCAAGCTCAAGCACTTGCAAAAACACCACTTACGCCCCGATGGTCCAGGAGCCGCTACTTATGAAGAGCTCGTTGCATCTGGATTCTTCACACCTCCAATCTCTGACAGTGCTCCACCACCAACTCCTATTGGAGCTGCCCCAGCCCCAACTGTTTATACCGGGCGTATGTCGCGAGACTATCTTCAGCCGCCTCGACAGACCAGAGGATCTCGAGCAGCAACGCCCTCAGCTTCTCGTGCTCCTTCTCCTATTCGATCACCTGCCAGCGCCTCCTCCCGAGGAACAAAGCGCGCGGCAGCTGACTCAAACTCTGAGGACGAAGAGGAGAATGCATCTCGTGACCCTCCAACCCCAAAGAAGAAGCTACGTAAGTCTGCTTCTCGAGATATCACCCTACCGAAACTGCGAAATGTCGCTTCTCGCCGCAACATGCTCTCATCACGACGTAGTGTGTCGGGGCCTCATGGAGCTAGCAAGGAGTATAACACACTCGCTCGCCGTGTCCTAGGCCGTCTTCCTGGAGGCGGTGGTCGAGGCTCCCTGGACATTGACCGCCGGCCTGCTTCTGCTTCTAGAAGGAGCATCGAAGAGTCTAGACAGCCACTGCAAGAGGTCCAATACACGCGAATCCTACGTTCGCGAAAGAGCGCTGCAGAAGGACTCAGTGTTGTACCAAATGCTAACAGGGGCATCCCAAAGGTTCCTAATATTCCTGAAAAGTTTGCCGCCTACGATAAAGATTCTGAGAACACGGCTCCAGCAATTCGCTCTCTTTATTAGTCTGATGTTGGCGTCTTTGACTTTTCACTATATTAACATACAACAGCACGCGAGACACTTATGGACAGCGGATAATGTCAGTGGTGAGATGGAAGCATGAGCTCAGAAGCTCTGCAGCGGCGGATCGAACGACTCTTGACGCGGCCACGACCTTGTTTTTGTTTCTGGGACTTTTACGAACGAATTACTCTTTGTATATTCTCGTGGGAGATATCCATGATGACATGCGACATGATTGATTTTCTGATGTCTCCTCATCCGTTGGATAGAGGCTTCCTGCACTTGGGATATCGGTTGGGAAGGGGGTACAGGTTTTGATCTTGGGGGAAAATGGGAACAGTGGTGGAATACGGTCCTTGTCTGATAAGTAGCCTGCGCTCTTGGCATCAAGGCCGACGAAAGGTAACGGCGTTGGGGGTATATGTATTAATTAACGATTCTCCCATGACATGATGCTGTGTGTGTGTTGTATCGAAGCAGATCAAGTGAAGATGAAATACACAGGCAATATTGCAAGAGTGCCCTACCTATGAGGGTTCGTGTGTTTATTGGGACCACAAACGTACACAATGAAATCTGATAGACGATCAAGGGATATCAATCAATTAAGCCAGTTCATTTGTGCCTTTTCGATTATACCTATATACATGTACAGTCTCCTTACATTCCACCAAAGTCTCAACCACTTCATTCACTAGAGATCCATAACCAGAAAACATCAACACCTCATATTCCCTAATCACCCATCTGCCCAGGAGACTTCCCATAGTTGTGTGTTAAAACAGTTGATGAAACCCGATTTCAAAGTCCACCTCTATTGCCCGTCCAAGTTCATCTCAGGAAAATTTGCTCAGGAAAAGACTCTCTGTTCGTATCGACCCGCCGGGCGCTTCGTATGTCTGATGGAAATCTCCAAGTTCCATCCCAAGTTGGTCGCATGGAACATCATGTAGCACCCTTGGAAGATATAATAGTTCTGTGTACGCTGGGACCCAACAGGCCTGAACGAATGACAATAGTGTAAAGGAGAAACAGGTTGTATCGGTCATAAGTGGTAAAACAAATAATAAACGCCCAACCCGTAGAAGAAATAAATACGCTTTGGGATTGTGAACAAGTGATGAGGAACACCATCATAAATCATCAAACTTCAATACCTTCAAGAACCCGCTCTGGTAGGTTTTGTTGAAGTAGTTGCTGTGTTTTGGTGAGCCCGTTCTGATACAGTGAGCGAACAAAAGCCCAGGCAAACGTGAAGAGCCAAGGGAAGTAGCTATATAGCATGCCGCAAATCATTACGAGGAGGAGAGGGATCTGTATCTTGGTTAGTTCTGGGATGCATGTTAAGATAGACTTCGAGGTGACTTACCCAGATGAAGAACAGATTGTGGTCACTGCTAATCCTCTTCATCTTGACTTCATGTGCTCGGCGGAATTGCTCTTGCTGCTCCTTGGTGATGGCGTTCTTTCGGCCAATTTTGAGGACCCCTGGCTCATCAGTCTTGATTTCAGTCACTTCAGTGACTTCGGTAATATCAGCCGACTCGGTTTCAGTAGATGTGGTCTGGTCGAATAAGGCCGCGCATTTTTGATCAGCCTCAGCCTCCACAGCAGCTCGGGCAGCTGACTCATGCTTTTGGTCAAGGCTTTCCCGGGGGAAGATCTCCTCGTAAGCCGGAGGTGCTGGCGCGGCTGCCTTGGAAGATGAATCCCACCAGCGCTGAGGCTGCTCGCCATCAGCACGGGGGGCTGCCATACCTGGCATCAACTGCTGGACTCGTCGCATGAAGGGTGCTTGGTAGCCAGGCATGTTAGGCAATGCAGGCATTTGAGGCATCTGTGGGAAATGTGGGAAATTCTGGAACTGCATAGCAATCGACTGTTGGAACTGCTGGAATTGGTGGACCTGTTGCTGGAACTGCTCCTTGAGAGCAGCCATTGTTGTAGCAGGTGGTGCAAGTTCCTCCTCCATTTCGCTAGTCTGCTGGCGGCGAAGATTGGGTCTCTCACGATCTTGCCTGAAGCCACTGGACCTTCTCATGCTCAAGTAGGAATCCTCGTCGGGATCCTCATCCTCGAAATCTCCCGATGTGTACTCCGGGCTCTCCTCGCTAGAATCAGGTGAGATTGGCTCTTCATGACTGTGTATCTTAGTCATAGGCTCCCAGAGCGATCGGAGC